TACACCCACCTAAGCACCACTACCATACAATGGGGCCAGTTAACTAGGGATCGACCTATTATTGGTTTGACCGATAGTCGATATTTTCGGCAATATTGGTATTTGCCTATAGAGATACCGATATTGCCGATAATGCAGACCAGGCTTGTCATGGACCCGGCAGTCCTGGAGGGCCCGCAGCACACTCTTAACTTCCAAGCACCTCCCTTCAACTTCCCTGTCTAAATCTTGCAAGTCCCGTGGCCGTCAGAGTGTTGCCACGGGTTACCATGGCAATGCTCCGCGCGGTACACTAGCCGCGAGATTTAGACAGGGGAGCTGCTGTGAAAGTAAGTAAGAGTGTGCTGCGGTCCCCTACCGCACAGTCCATGCCACCGGACCACCAGGGAATGCCATATCCCCCTCCCTGGCCAAGTAAGAAGCAGGGAGGGGGGACTAAATTATTATTATTATTTTTTTTAAATATTTAAAATAACAATACTCCCCTTCATTTTACATACCTACACACACACACACACACACACACTCTGCATTATATAAACACACTGCATTCACTATACACACACTACACAAACACACACACACACTCTGCATTCATTATATAAAAACTACACAAACACTATGCATTCACTATACACACTGCATTAATTTTACACACACTACACAAACACACACACTGCATCCACTACACAAACCTACTGTATCCACTACACAAACACACACTGCATTCACTAATCAAATACTCTCACTGCATCCACTATACCCACACATTCTTGAAAACATAAAAAATTCTGACTGGCATGAATATTTTGTGCATTTACCTTAATAAAAGAAAATTGCAAAAAATAAACATGTTCAGTTAACAGTAGATTTGCGTAGAAATAGTTTTTTTTTCAAAATGGTAAATGTACAGAATATCGCTAAGTTATCAGCTATCTCTCTGAAAGTTTACAGATTATTGGTATCGGCTCTAAAAAATCAATATCGGTCGATCCCTAGAGTTAACATATACTGACTTAGGTGAAACGCTGGAGGGGGTTGTGTGGCAGGACATTTGTGAAGTGAATGCGGCATAAATATATATATATATATATCTCTATATGTGTCACTTTACAGGAACCGTTATATAAGACCATGTTTCGTTGGTAAATTTGAAAGGAAGAAAAGGAGGTGTACCAGCGCTAATATTTCAAAATATTCTGACAATGCACAAGGAATATATATAAAATAGCTGCTATAACATCAAGATATCTTTAAAAATAGAACTTGTAAAAATGGAAAATAGATGTAGCGCTATATTTAGTAATAAAAATGGAGATAAAAAGGCAATACCTTACAAAGTCTTTACAAATTAAATAAATCTTCCCAGTTTGAGTTTCTAAAAAACACAAAGAAAAAACGGAACGGACATAGTGTATACCGTATAATACAATATAATAATAAAAAAGGGGGGTAAAATCCCACTCACACTTTTTAGAGCTATAAAATAATAGCTCAATTTCAGCGTTCTTGGGGTTCAGTAAAGGCGACCCTCACCCTTCTTGAGTTCCAGTGCTTCTGATGTTCTATTAAAATGAAACAGGACAAATATGGTGCAGTACCGTTGGTCTTTAAAGAAAGATAATAAACCAAGATGGGGTACTTACAAACTTAGAGCCATCCAAATCGGCTCTGATCTGTGCATTTATGTGGTTAAGGTCCACACACCTTCTTTAGAAAAAATGTAGCAGGGATAATGCCAATAATGTGTAAAAGTACAATATTTATTATAATAATATTATAAAATATATATAAGTATAAAAAATATATATAAAATGAAATTGGCATATAAAAATCCAAAGTCTCACAGTCTTTATTCCAGGACGCGTTTCGCCTATATCGGCTTCCTCAGCTGGATAATAGTGATGTAGTCTTCCTTAGGATTCTCCTGCTTTATATACCCCTCTCCCGGGTGGTTAATTGATGTTTGGCTTGTATTTTCGCGGGCAATCACCATAGAAACGGTGATGCCCTGCGTCTCAAGCCTCTTCCTCGTTCTTCCTTCCGGGTTTGAGCTCCGTCGCGTCACTTCCGGTTTCGCCGATACGTCATTTCCGTGCGTTCCACCGTGCGGTCCACGGATTCTTTCTTCCTCCCAGACAGATCCTCCCAGACAGATCCCAGACAGATCGGCACATATATACATGAGTAGGAAGTAACGAGGAAGAGGCTTGAGACGCAGGGCATCTCCGTTTCTATGGTGATTGCCCGCGAAAATACAAGCCAAACATCAATTAACCACCCGGTTAAGTTTTCAATGTTTTTTTAACCCTAAGGGGTTAAATTTTATTATTTGATTTTATTAGTGTATGATTTAGTTACTTGGATGGGTGGAATTTAGTGGGAATTAGGGAACAAAAATAAAAATTTTTTTTTAGTTATTTAGTTAAAGTTTTGTTAGCTTTGTTAACTGTATTTAACAATGTTCAGGAAGTATAGTGCAGAGGAGGCTTATGCCCTGTTAGCGGCCGACTCAGAGGCGACAGACACTGCCTCAGAGTGTGACGCAGGGGACTATGTGCCAGATACTGCAGGACCATCAGGGGAAATTGCAGATTCCCCTAATGCTGAACATGGCGCAGATGACTGGGTACCCCCTAATAATTTTTCCCCAGACATCCCAGTGTTTACAGCCAATCCGGGCATACAGGCTGACCTGCGCTGGATGTTATGCAGCTGTTCTTGGGGGATGAGATTTTTGGGGAGATAGTCACCCAGACTAATCTCTATGCGGAGCAGTATCTGGCACGCAATCCAGACTCTTATCTCCAGGAAAGAGAGATGGAACCCAACCAGTGTGCCAGAATTGAAACAATTCTGGGCACTGACCATGTTAATGGGGCTAATTAAAAAGCCCACAATTAGGATGTATTGGTCTAAACATCCTATTTGCAATACCCCCATTTTTGCCAAGACAATGCAGAGGGAAAGATATGAAGACATACTGCGATTTATGCACTTTAGTGATAATAGTAAGTGCCCCCCAAAAGGTGATCCGCAGTATGATCTTTATAAAATCCGCCCTTTAATTGCCCACTTTAACCATAAATTTGCCAATATATATATACCCCCAATAAAAACATTTCCATTGACGAGTCCCTCATGAAGTTCAAGGGAAGACTGGGATTTAGACAATATATCCCATCCAAAAGGTCCCGATATGGGATCAAATTTTATAAACTGTGTGAAAGTGGCAGTGGCTACGTATACACCTTCCGTGTATACGAAGGAAGGGATAGCCACCTTGATCCCCCAGGTTGCCCAGATATAGTAGGGACAAGTGGGAAAATTGTCTGGGACTTAATAATGCCTTACTTAACTACGATTATCACTTATACATTGATAACTTTAATAATAGTATCCCACTGTTAAAAATGTTATACTGCTTCGAGACCGTGGCCTGTGGCACTATTCGAAAGACTCGCACAGGTTTCCCAAAGGCTCTGGCAAACAAAAAAATGAAAAGGGGGGAAACAGCAGCTCTCTGCCAGAATGAACTGCTGGAACTCAAATACAGGGATAAAAAGTATGTTTTCATCTTAACCACCATTCATGGTGAAAACACTTGGAGGGTCGCAGTTCGTGGCAGAGAGGAATGCAAACGAGTGCCAGTCTGCATACGGCAATATAATCGGCATATGGGGGGCGTTGACCTGTCCGATCAACTGATGCAGCCGTATTTGATCATGCATAAGACCAGGGCATGGTATAAAAAAATGGGCATATATCTGATGCAGATGGCAATACACAATGCATTTGTCATTTTCAAAAAGGCAAATGCTGGGCTGAATATCACTTTTCTTTCGTTCCAGTTTAACCTCAATCTGGGCTATCTGAGTGCCACACAAGGAGACCATCAGTGGAGCCTAGCAGAAGAATGGAGGCAGGTCACTTCTGCTTTAAGATTCCACCAACCCCTAAAAAACAAAACCCCCAGAAAAGGTGCAGGGTGTGTTACAAGAGGGGCATAAGAGCGGAGATCAGCTATTACTGCCCTGATTGCCCCTCTCAGCCCGGCCTATGCATTGGCCACTGTTTTAAATTTTTTCACACCCAAGCCGAATAAGTAGACCAGTTTTGGGTTGTGATTTTTTTTTTAGTCATCTGTCTGATTGGTAACCGAATCTTGGCTTTGTCTCCCGCTTATCCTGTCTTCTCTGTTCCTTGACCTCGGCTTGTCCTATCGTTGTTCCGTTTCTCTTTACTCCTTTGACCTCGGCTTGTACCTTGACAATTCTCTGCTTGTATAGCCCGGCCATTCTAAGGACCGGTATTACAAGTTTCTCTCTGTGTTCTCTCTCTTTGTGGTCTGTCTGTGTTTTGGTTTCGGAATCCATGACAGCTTTGCCCGGGATGCAGATGACTGGGTACTACCCCCGGATAAGTTTACCCCAACTATTCCCCCTTTTCACAGCAAATAGTATGCACTTGTTCATAATTTGAATTGATGAGCTGCTTATACTTAAAAATATATGTGGCCTTTGAGAGGCAATTTGCAGTCCTGAGCTGCTACAATGAGACTTGGGCCCAGCATCCACTTTTGAAAAATATGGAAGTGGTGTGTCTCCAATGTGCCCCTTCAACATCCACATAACCCTGAGAAAGGTACACATTGGGTTATCGTTGCACTAACATGACATAGCTGAGCAACATATTAGGTGTTACACTGCCTTAGCACACATAAGGATAGCAAAATATACAGTAACATCTCCAAGTGTGTGTCAAAAAGGCAGAAACAATGCTAATTGCAACTAGACTTGGTACAAACTAACAAAAAAATTATCCTACACTAAGGTTTAGAATATACCTTTTGAAATACCCTGGGGTATCTACTTTAAGAAATGGTAGGCCTTTGTGGGGTAGTTTGAATTTAAAACCTGCTAAGAAGCTTGGAAATTGCACATAGGCCCAGCGTCAAAATTAAAGCTTCACTGAAATAGTGCCAAAGACATACAATGGGGGTGTCCTTTTACTCAGAAGACTTAGCTGAACATAATTTGGGGGGTTTGAACTTAGTGGCACATGTGAAAAATACAAAATGTCCAGCAAAAATGCAATCCATATGTAAAAAACGCACAAAATTATTTTTTACCACATACTTTGGCATTTATTGGTGAAAAAATGGGGGCATGTTAAGGCACAATATGCACCTTATGAGATACCCTGGAGTGTCTACTTTTACAAATGGTAGGCCTTTGTGGCTTTTTTTGAACAGTCAAACTGTTATAATACCCCAAACGGAAGCATAGGCTCATTAAATCCGTCTCTCGAAATTCTACTGTGAGTACTGAAAAGGACAGGTCTCCTATATGTAGCTTCATGAAATAGTGCCAAAGACATACAATGGGGGTGTCATTTTACTCAGCAGATGTAACTGAACACAAAATAAAACTTTGTACAGGAATAGCACACACCAACTTTACAAAATACACACAAGAAGTTCTTTGTTATAAGTTTGTGTGCCAAAAACTAAATAAAACACAATTTTACTCCAATATTTAGCAGAGGTTTGCGGTGAAATGGCTACGTAGAAAGTGTCAAAACAACCCTTGGTAAATAGCCTGTGATGTCTACTTTCTATAAATATATACTTTTGTGTGACAATTTTTTTTTCTTTTATGGCTATTAAACTTACAAGACAAACATACCAAATTCTAAAATCGCTCCACATTAACAGTTTATTTTACTCATTGTGCTTTGTGACCTGTAACTACCAAAAAAAACTTTAAATCCCAGACACATTATATATTCTGTAAATCAGGACAACTAAATGAATTTATTTTTAATTACTTTCCTTAACCTGCACTAATTATGAACACATTATTATTGCAAAAACTGTACAAAAACACAATTTTTTTTGCATATTTCTTTTTTTTATTTTTTTTTTATAATAACCATTTATATATATATATATATATTGTGGCAAACCTAGCCACTCGGACTATAACTGGACACTATGCCTTTAAGGGTTGCCTATAGGTCTGGAGAGAGATGCGTTGTACCTGTATGTGCCTGCTTCATGTATTCCCTGCATTGCCTGTACCTATCTGTTCCGTCGAATGCAAATGGCGGTTTGTATGGGGATTCCCGTTCGTTTCGCGAACGGCACTTTGGAGGGCCGTTCGTGAAATGAATGCGATACGCCCTAATAGCCCACACACTTAGAGGCGTGTGGCGCTAGTTAACCGATTGCAACATTGTTGCAATCGGTTATTAGAGGCTCTCCTGGGTGGCCGTCGTTCGACTACCGACCATGCGGCGGTCGGCCATCTTGGATCCCTGGTTCTTCAGCGGGTCCGTGTCGTCGAACGCATAGCATTGCCAACAGTTATTCGACGGCACGAACACCGCTGAGCCTCCAGGACGTTCGGGAGTTTCAGGACCAGGTTCACTAAAAGCAATCGGTTCTCTTCGTGGGTTTTGAAAGAAATATGTTTTCTGTGCGGCGTTCGGTTATTTTAGCTGGGATCTGAGCGGCAATCTCACGAATGATGCGCCCAGACCCCAGCTATCTACCGAACGTCCATTTGTGTAAATCCACCGTATATTGTACCAGTTGTAGATTTTTGTGTGAATTGCCGGTTCTGCTGCACGAGGGGATAGTCCCCTTAACGGTGCATTCTGGGAGGATGATCCCTCTCGTGCAGCGGTGCCTGATGGGAGAAATATGTGGTACTGTAAGTCCCCCATGTAGTCCCCTCCTGTACAACCCCTGTAATGTCAGTTTGGAAACCCCTTGCATGGGGAATTGCATAAATACTGTGACCTGTGATTAAAACCTCAGTTGACTCCCAGCCTATGTGTCGTCTAGTTCTTGGGAAGGAAGGGTTACTGCAGTGCTGTTTGGATTATTATATGCTGATTCCCTTGATTATCCTTTGTTGTTCCTGTTACCTAGCGGAGATATCGTGGATCATACTGCCTCTCCGCTACAATTGGTGGCAAGCGACGGGATTGAATTTACACAGCAAAGCAACGTTCGGCAGATTTTTAAACGAATCAAGGAACAAGCATTCGGGAATTAGCGCATTCGAATAAACCTCACGAACAGCAGGTGAATGGGAACAGATTACGCCCTGCTAAAACGGAGCACATTAAAGGAGCTGCTGGAAGCAAGAGGAGCAATCGCCAGTAACAAGGCAAAGGCTGTCCTAATTACGGAGCTCATGGAAGGAGACAGAGCCGCAGCTGCTGCAGCACCTCAGATGGAGGGACAAACCAACGAATTTACAGTGGAATTCCGAGCACGGATGGCTTTATTTCCTGAACCACCATCTGCAGTGATGATTAACCGGCTGTTCGCTGATGTACAGGAGTACATTATGGCTAGAGGACCGCCAGGAAACCAGCAAGCCAGAGAAAGAGCCGCAACGCCAGTCCATATTTTCCCAGGGAAAGCCAAAATCCCATATCAAGCCTTCAAAAGCGTGTGGAGACAGAGGGTGGCGTTGACGACTATTTACAGGATTTCGAGAGACTGTGTTTGCTGCACGAAATTAATGATGCAGACAGAGTACCCCTACTAGCGGGGAGATTATCTGGGCGAGCCGCCGAAGCGTACCGGGCAGTACCAGACGAGGATAGTAGAGACTACGCTAAAGTAAAACGGGCCATCCTAGCCCGGTATGCCATCACATCAGAGGCATACCGAAAGAAGTTTCGGGACATTAAAAAACCCACTAAGGACACCCATGTGGAATGGGCGCACCAGCTGCAACGAGCTGCCAAAGGGTGGCTGGAGGCCGCCCAAGTTGATACATTGGAGGGTCTGTTCCAGCTAATAGTACTGGAACAATTCTTCAATGGCGTCCCGACCTACCTACAAAACTGGATCCGGGACAGAAAGCCACACACCCTGCAGGAAGCGGCTAATATGGCAGACGATTTCCAGGACAATCGGAGAGATCAACCCATACCAACCCGAGCCACCATCCCCCCTACAACGGCCAGCCCTCCAGGGGGCCCCGCAACGTACCAGCGACCAGGGGTAAACCAGAATTCCTACCCCCCCAGATATTCAGCACGTCCACCAATCCGGTGCCATACCTGCAACCAACAGGGGCACATCCAGAGAGACTGCCCACGGAACCGGCCTCGACCCAGCTGGAATAACGCCGCCCCGAGCAACCGTGCCGCAGTCCATTGTCTACAGGCCGAATCCTACCAAAATCTGGAGTTGGGGACAACCCGGGAGGAACCCCTCGGTACTCTACACGAGGTGAACCCTATCCAGGCCGCCTCCGATAACCGCCAAGGGCACCGCCAGGAAGTACACATGGAGGGGAGGAAAGTACAAGGACTTCGTGACTCTGGAGCCACCCTAACTCTAGTACGCAGTCATCTGGTACCAAAGCCCAAGCTCACGGGGGACTGTGTGGCTGTGCGGGTGGCTGGGGGAGCCATTTACAAAGTACCCACGGCCAAGGTGCACTTGAATTGGGGAGCGGGGCACGGGAATGTATATGTGGGGATGATGCAAGACTTGCCAGCGGATGTGATTTTGGGCAACGATTTGGGGGAGCTGACTTCAGCTTTTGTTCCACAGCCCACCGTACAAGAAGCATACCCGGTTGTGACCCGGCAACAGGCCCGCACCACTGCACCATCCGAACACTCTGAGGCTCAGGTAAGCAATGACCCTCCCCTACCCCCTATCATGCCCTGGGCCAATTCCATAGAGTTCGGGGCCGAAGTAGCCCTAGATCCTTCGTTGCAGGTATACAAAGACCGCATGGATAAAAATCAAGCCGGGTTAGAGGGGGAAAGATATATCTGGGACAAAGGACTACTATATCGGCACGCAGAGAAGGTAGTGTCCGGGTCAATACCGTTGCCCATTAAACAGCTAATAGTGCCTCAAAAGTATAGGTTAGAGCTATTACGCATAGCCCATGATATCCCTCTGTCTGGACACCTAGGCATCAGTCGGACCAAGCACAGGCTGACCCAAAATTTCTTTTGGCCAGGTATTTCCCAGGATATTAAGCGATATTGTCAGACCTGCGATACCTGCCAAAGGGTAGGCAAGAGGGGGGACAGATACAAAGCCCGACTACGGTCTCTGCCCATCATTGAAGAACCATTCAGTAGGGTGGCAGTAGACATTATAGGTCCCCTTGCAAAACCCAGCCCCTCCGGCAAGAAGTATGTCCTAACTGTGGTGGACTACGCCACCCGGTACCCCGAGGCAGTGGCCCTAACGAACGTACACGCAGAAACGGTAGCCGAGGCCCTGATGAGGATATTCACCCGGGTAGGATTTCCCCGGGAGATTATCTCCGATAGAGGCACCCAGTTTACTGCTGAAGTGACCCATCAGCTCTGGAAAATCTGTGGGATACAACAAATCCTCAACTCCCCATATCACCCCCAGTCCAATGGGCTCTGTGAACGGTTTAACGGAACCCTGAAACAAATGATCCGCACGTTCATGGACACCCAAAAGGACTGGGAGCGGTTTTTACCCCACCTACTGTTCGCATATCGAGAAGTGCCACAAGAATCCACCGGATTCTCTCCGTTCGAATTATTATTCGGGAGGAGAGTGAGGGGACCTCTTGACTTGATACGGGAACACTGGGAGGGAGACGAAACCATTAATGGCACCCCTATCTTACCATATGTGCTCGAGTTCAGGGAACGCCTGGAGAGGCTAACCCAGACCGTCCGAGACAATCTCCAGGTAGCGCAACAACGACAGCGCCGATGGTATGATAAGGGAGCCAGGGACCGCAGCTTCCAGGTGGGGCAGAAAGTCCTAATCCTGCGACCCGTCCACAAAGATAAGCTGCAGGCTTCCTGGCAGGGCCCATACAAAGTGGTGGAACAGATCTGTGACACCACCTATGTGATCGGCCCGGTTACCGGCGTGGGAGGCAAACGCATGCTCCATGTGAACATGCTCAAGCCATACCACGAACGTACTGAGGAAGTCACCGCAATCTGTGCCCCTGCCACGGAAGATTTTGATAACCTACCCCTACCCGATCTCCTAGACCAAGAGGGCCAGAGCGGAGATCTGGGAGAGGTACAGTTAGGAGAAAGATTAAATACCCAAGAACGGGCCCAGGTACAAAAGTTGCTTCGGGAAAAGAAGGCCACGTTTTCCAATTTACCCGGCTATACCCCGTTGGCTACCCATAAGGTAGAAACGTTAGATCCGACCCCCTTGCGC